TCAGATATGCAGTCCTTAAAAATGAGTTTTATGCATTTCTTGTCATATCTACATTTTATCAGCAGAAGGATTTGTTATCTGGAAATGTGCTTTGTTGACAATTACTTGTGGAATAGGTATTTCTTGTTTCTTAATGAACATAGGAACAAAATCCCAGATATCACTGACTCATATAAGAATGGATTAGTGTATTTTAATATGTTGTAATCAGTAAAGATATTTTTTTCTTAATTGTAATACAGATGTTTCAATTATGCTCACTGAGGTGTGTTAGTTGACTTCCCAAACGTCAGCAATTTTTTTGACATTATGGGAAACATAACAGAAGGGACAATTCTCTTTTCTTTGCAATGTTTTTTCCCAGTCAGAGTAATTTTGCGTCCTGTAGGACAAGCCTGTTCTCTCTGAACATTTTGCTGAACTAATAAAGCAGATGGCTTTTCCACTCATCATAGGGTTACTTACTTCTAAAAAAAATCAGTTGTACATAATATTAATAATTTTGTGCATTGAAAAAAAAATGTCTGTGTGCATTGAATTATCAGAAAGCAAAGGGGGTCACAATCTCAATCACTCATCTGGACAATTTTGGAGGATTTTGGAATTCTAGATAATAGGTGCTCAAAGAGATCAAAATGAATATGGCATTCTGAACCCGAATATGAACAGTCCTTTTCTAAAATAGAGGACACAAAAGAAAAGCTGACACAGATTACATTGGCGTCAGCTGCTGTCTCCCTTTCCTCATTAGGTCAAAGGAGTCCCTTTATATATTTGGGGATAATAATAAAACTTTTCTCAGTCACATTCACATATAATGTTGGATCTTAAAATGGTACTGAGCATCACTTCCTTCAAAATCCCAGGAGAAATGTTTTGGGGCAACTATGTGGGCTAGGAAATATTATCCACTCAACTACATCATGCCCACTGTGTGGATGGAAGATGATGAGACCAACATGCCAAAAGCACTTGAGGTGTAAATCTTATGGATTACAGTGAGAATGCAATGAATCAAAAATTAAAAACCTATCCAGTGGAAAGACCCATTGTATCATGGCTGCGAATGTCAACTTTGTCAAATCCCTCAAATCATTCTGTAAATCAACTCAGTTAGAGGTGGATGAGGTCAAAATTATATGAACAAAACCACTAGAAATAGTGAACTCAGGGTCCTTCCACACATTCCTATATCCCAGAATATCAAGCCAGAAAATTCCACAATATCTACTTTGAACTGGGTTATCTGAGTCTGCACTGCCATATATGCCAGTTCAAAGCAGAAAATGGGGGGGGGGGAAAAGATTTAATTTTTTTTTTTTTTTGGTTTGGGGGGGGCCAAAAAATTTTTTGCCTTGATATTCTGGGATATAAGATTGTGTGGAAGGGCCCTCAGTAGGACATCACACAATATCTTTTGAAAGAGCAACAGTGCTGTCCTCTAGAGGTAAGAAGTGAAATTTAACTAACAATAGCTTCTAACAAGCAACTACAGTTGCAAGTTGCAAGAGCAGATGCCAAAAACAGAATCCAGGCTTAGAACCTCACCCAAAGGCAAAAGTTTTTTCCCCACTCTGTCTGCTTCAGAAAACAAGAGCTAGCTCTATTGCTCAATTACATTTTGGAGACTTCCTGCTGGAGCCCACAGTGGGTTAAACCCCTGTGCTGGCAGGACTGAAGAATGACAGCTTGGAGGTTTGAATCTGGGGAGAACGTGGATGAGCTCCCTCTATCAACTCCAGCTCCCCATTCTGGGACATGAGAGAAGCCTCCCATAAGGATAATAAAACATCAAAACACCTGGGCGACCCTTGGGCAACGTCCTTGCAGACGGCCAATTCTCTCACACCAGAAGCAACTTGAAGTACTTACTACAACTACAGTAACCAGAAAAATTATAGCACTGAAACAAACCTGGGTAAATTTAACTTATTGATCACATACAGAAATGGAAAATAGATGACAGAGGAGGCAGAATAAGGTGACAAGCCAATATTTTTAGGAGACAAAGAATTCCAACTATAATAGAGCTATAATTCTATTATTGGATAACATCCACACATATTGATCTAAACTACCTAGTTTTATGCTTCTTTTTTGTAAATTTTCTTCTCCAATATACTATTCTTGAGAATCAGAGTTTGGAAATTAACCTTCTTGATAACAATACCTATCATCCCCTAATCAGATTGGCTCCTGCATTTTCCTCCTGGCAAATTGCAGTCTGAGCAGGTTACTGTACACTATTTTCCCTTCTACAATGAAATAACTTTGTTTCTCTTTGAACAATTGCAATTTACAGTTCTTTCTAAACATTAACTTATTACATTTGCAAATTTGTGAATTTTATACATCTCACAGTTCATTCGTTTCCCCTCTCCCCGTTTTCCCCCTTCTTCTTTATTTCTCTTTTTGCTGATGTAAAATTCCAGCTTTGGTAAAAAGCTGCTGCTGCTGACTTGAGAAACCCTTGTTATTATCTGGTGTAAATGCTTCTTCCTCATAGGTAATGACAGAGGGATTTGCTTTTGCCTCCAGCTTTATCTCTCCTATTGTAAACACAGGTTTTTCCTAGTGCAGCCAGCAAGCAGCATCACAAATGGGGAAGGAGTGCTAAGGAAATAAATTTACATGCAATGAGCTATGCAATAGTTGAGAGGAAATGCATGGTTGTGAATCTCATTCAAGGATTTAAAATATTTAATTATAAGATAATAAATTTATTGTAGAAACCCAATGGTATAGATAACAATTCCAGGTGTATAGTTAATGTGACTGTCTCAAACATAATCAGTTACTGGCATGCATCATCACAATACCTTATCCTCTTTTGTCTGCAATCCCTGGTGTGGTTCCATTTCTGGTTATTAACAGTTTTATTTCTTCTAGGTAGGAGTCATAGCAAATTTAAAGTTTTCTAATTTTTCTTCATGCGAAATGAGGAAAGGGCTCCCATTTTATATAGTCAGCAAGAGTGCATTCTAGCATGTGGCATGAAAGGTTTGGGAAATTATACTGATCCCTAAAATAGACTTGCAACTATGGCAAGTTTAGCGATCAGTTTCTCCCTGCTGTCTTCCTCAGACCCACTGAAAATGCCCCCACCCCCTTTAAGAGACATAATTCACAGCTAATTAAAAACACAAACATCCTAAACTCACATTTTGCTAAAACAAGGCAGCATGTGACTGCACTGATTCATAGGTTGGATTTCTTTCTATATTTGTTTTAATCATCAAAGCTAATAATACCTTTATTTCTGATACCAGCAGTGATAATACACTCTGAGGTTGTTGTTAACTTCTGGCAAGTCAACTTCAACTATGGCAACACTAGGAATGAGAGATCACCAGCTTTCACAACTAAATATACTAATGTATTGTCAAAGGCTTTCATGGCTGGAATGACTGGCTTGTTGTGTGTTTCCTGGGCTGTATGGCCATGTTCCAGAAGCATTCTCTCCTGACGTTTTGCCTGCATCTATGGCAGGCATCCTCAGAAGTTGTGAGGACAACCGCTGAGGATGCCTGCCATAGATGCATGCAAAACGTCAGGAGAAAATGCTTCTGGAACATGGCCATACAGCCCGGGAAACACACAACAACCTAAATATCCTAATTAAAATATGATGGTTTTTACACTACACTGCAATTATAATGCAGATTGAACTGAATTAAATGGCAGTGTAGTCTCCTATAATCCAGTTCAATGCATTCTACTACATTCTACAACAGTGTAGATGGGGCCTATGTCTTCACTATCTGCTTTCAATTTATGTAATTGATATGTGGTTATTTTTTTTTTGTAAATAAACATGCATTTGCACTTTCTACCTTGGTTTCTTCCATTATTGTTCCAAGTCTATTATTTTCTGGTAATAATGTGGTGATAAAATGTAGCCTTGCTTGATCCCATTGCCAATTGGAAAGAATTATTTTGTATTCTATCCTGACGATAGCCCTTTGCCCTGGGTACAGGTTATACATCAGAACAATTAAATATGTGCTGTTCAGGTTTGGGCTTTCTTTTCATCTGAACATTCTTTTGACTTGA